CCACAGTCAAGTCAGATATATCCTACTATCCCCCATTACCTTCAGATTATATCAATGTATATGAAATCAAAATTCCCTTTTAGACACATCATTGAATTTAAACAGGATGTTGGAAATGATTTAATTACAAGGGAATTATGGGGTGGTGCAAGTGGAGTTTATACCGATGATTCTGATCTTTTACAAGTATTGATGCATTTAGGTTTATTTAACAATAGTATCGATTTATCCATATGGAATGAGAATTGGACTGCTAGAGATTTAATTAAACCTTTGAATGTCATGGAGGACAAAGAATCAATGGGTATAGATAAAGGAATTTATGGGGATTTATCTGTCGAGATATTGTTATTACCTAATTTACCCAAATATTATGGATTCTTTCAAAATGGTATAAATTCGAGATCTTGGTTAGATCAAAATCATCACTCTGGTCTAAGTTATGCTGTATATAATGTCAAGTGGGAAACCAAAGGAAGTTATTTAAGACATGAGTCAATATTTAAAAGAAGCGAATTAGAGTCTCAATATGATCAATTATAATCCATACGTTAATAATCATTATTGTATTTTGTAATCTGTTATTATTATGATTATTCTTTTTGTAACATTATTATTTTTTAATATATCTACTATTTTATTATTCTAGATGCATTCGTGTTGAAAATCTTGGATAGCAGAACTTAAAGCTTCGACAATGATATCAATTTCTTGACCGGTTATGTCAAAACTAGGTGCAAACAAAATATGATCTCCTTTGTACCCATCAATAGTACCTTTACCAGGATACCCAATAACTCCATGTTTTTTGATCAAGTCACCGATTTTATAACCAACATTTAAATCCAGTTCAAATGGCTCTTTTGATTCTTTATCGATAGCAAACTCAACACCCCAAAACAACCCTCTACCTCTGATATCGACAACAATATCGAATTTATTCAACACTTTTTCAATTAACTGTTTCTCAAAATAGTTACCCATTTTTGTAACGTTCTGTAAAAGATTTTCCCGTTTAATAATCTTTTGAACAGTGTATCCAGCAACACAAGAAATAGAAAAATTTTGAAATGTATGAACAGTATTATGTATACCCGAGCCAGATATCAATCTGTCTAAAATCCTTTGATTTATGAAAACACAAGATAATGGACAATAACCGCCTGAAATGGTTTTACCCGATGTTGTTATATCTGGGGTTATTCCTTCTTGTTCCCATGCAAAAAATGTACCGGG